CTTGTGCCTATCAGGCTTTCGCCTAATCTGCAAGGCCTGCTCCGCTAGGCCGTGGACAAGCTGGACGCAGCTGGGTGGGGCTCCTCCTCCCTCCGTCCGTCGCCAGCGCTGTCGCTGGCCTTTCCTTACTTTCTTTCCCGCGGCCCTGTCGTATCAACGCCCGAGTTTTCGATTTCATGTCCCGCTCCCCGGTTCGTTTCAAAGTCCCGCCCGTCACCGTCGTCGTCTTTGAACTTGTCGCTCTCCCTTGTGTCTTCTCCACCAGCCTCGCCCCGTCAACGAGCGAAGCTTCTATGCGATTCCCTGCCTGTGTGCCCGCTTCAATATTCGGGTGTTGCTAGAAGTACCCCTGGCCCAGGGTGCCCCTAGGCTTGTCGGGGTGGCTCGGGCGGCCTCCAGAGCATCCAACGCGAGGCCCAGAGGGCCCCAGCGGCTCCAAAATGGTGCTAAAAGCAGTGGGCACCTTGGACCAGGGGCCAGGGGTACTTATAGCAACGCCCGAAATATCACGCCCGTCCGATCGACCCGCCCCTCTTTGCTGCACCGCCCGCTCGCCCGCTTCGATGTCCCGCCCGCCCGACCGACCCGCCCGCCTCGCTGTCTCGTTCGCCTGGCGCGCTAGACGCTTTGAATGCCCCACCCGCGTCGTCGTCATCGGGGGTCGTTGTCGGTCTTCGGTCTTCGTCGTCGTCGTCGTCGTGGTGGTGGTGGTGGTGGTCGTCGTCGTCTTCGTCGACCGGGCCGTCAGCGTGAGCATTAGCGTCGTCATCGTTGCTAGATGCTGGCGAGCAAGGTGGGGGTTCTCGCCGGAAGGGGGGTGCGGGGACCCAGTTCAAGAGGATGGGGCAGGAGAATTTTGAGGGGCTGGAGGGGAGGGGTCCTAGCTCTGGCGAGTGTGTGTGTGTGTGTGTGTGCGTGTGTGTGTGTGTGTGTGTGTGTTTGTGTGTGCTTGTGTGTGTGTGTGTGTCTGTGTGTGTGTGTGTGTGTGTGTGTGTGAATGTGTGTGTGTGTGTGTGTGTGTGTGAGGTGTTTGTGTGTGTGTGTGTGCGCCCTGGCCATTGCATTTCACTTATTTAATGTTCTCCGCCTCGACGCTTCGCACGAGGCCGCGACTGGATCTCTCTGTGTATATATATATATGCATGTATGTGTATGTATGTATGCATGCATGTGTATGTATGTATGTATGTATGTATGTATGTATGTATGTATATATATATATATATATATATATATATATATATATATATATATATATATCCCGGGGAACGACGCCCAGGCGCCCGGTGCCGGTGCCTCGACAAGGCATGGGAGTACCGGGTGTCGTTTTTCCTGTGTTTTTACGGGGGTTCGGCGTCCTGGGCCTTGGAGGCCGCCGCCTCCGACCCTCCGTGGGAGGACGGGGCGGCCGGGGAGGTCCAAAACAGTCCAGGAGGGCCTCCAGAGGCTCCCAAGACGGCCCAAGCGGGCCCCGAGTCGCCGAAAGACCGCTCCAGGACGCCCAAGATAGGCCCAAGACGGCCCGAGAGGCCCCCCAAGGCATTCCACGACGCTTCCAGACGCCTTTTCAGAGCGCTTCAAAAGGCCGAAATCGTCAATTTTACGCGGGTTTTCGAACGATTCTGGCCTTCCAGCTTGTTCGGCAGTCCGACGTTCCAAGACGGCTCAATAGGCCCTCAAGAGCGCCCCAAGACGGCCCACGAGGGCCCCAAGACGGCCCCAGAGTCGCCCAAGACAGCCCAACAGACCTCCAAGACGGCCCCAAGATGCGCCCAAGAGGGGGACCACGATTCCAAAATTCGACCCTCCCGCTTGAAGAGTGCCCCAGGAGGCCCCAAGGAGCCCCCAAGAGGCCCCAGGAGGCCCCCAAGAGGCACCCAGGAGGCCCAAACGAGGCATAAAGAGGCTACAAAACAGCCCCGAGGAGGCCCCAAAACGGTCCCAAAACGGCTACCCAGAAGCTGCGAAACTGCCTTCACGACGACCCCGGCAGGCCAACCACGAGATCCAAACCAACACCCATGAGGCCTCTGACCCACCACCCAGGGCACTGTGGCGGGAGCAGTGACAGCACTTGTGCACAGCATGTTCCGGCGGGAGCCTTCCGGAACACGCTGCAGGGGGAGGAGGAGGAGGAAGATCAGGAGGAGAGAGAGCTGGAGTGGGAGGAGGAGGAGGGGGACGAGGAGGAGGAAGAGGCCTCCAAGACAGCTCCAAGATAGCCGAGGAGGCTTCCAAGAGGGCCCTGGGCGGCCCACGAGGGCCCCAAGGCGGTGCCTGAGGCGCCCAAGAAGGCCCGAGAGGGCCCCAAGACGGCTCCAAGAGAGGCCCAAGAAGGGAAACACGAACTGAGAATCCGAGCTTTCTACCCCGAGAGGTTCTCGGGAAGTCATCTCCCAAGGTGGCCCCAAGAGGCACAACTCATTGTTTTACGATTGGGCTTTGACGGGTTTCAATTTTTTCGGCCTTTTGGCATCCCGGTGCTCCAAGACGGCCCAAGAGGCTTCCAATACCGCTCCAATATAGAGGAAGAGGCCTCCAAGAGGGCCCCAAGACGGCCCGCGAGGGCCCCAAGACGGTGCTTGAGGCGCCCAAGACGGCCCGAGAGGGCCCCAATAGCCCCAAGAGAGGCCCAAGAAGGGGAACGCGACCCAACAGCAGAGCGTTCCCCCCAAAAGGCCCACAGGAGGCCGCAAGAGGACCCCAGAAGCTTCCCGAGGGCCCATAAGGCCCCTAGGAGACGTCCAAGAGGTTTTAAAATAGCCCAAGAGTGCCCTCGATGCGTCAAAACTGCTTCCAGGAGGCCCGCGGGAGGCTTCCGGATTGCCTCAATCTGGCCGCAGGTGGCCTCAAGTCGGGCCTCCACGCAGCCAAGACGGCCAATGACGGCTTCAGATTGCAGAACCGATGCCCCTAAGGGACCCTCAGACGCCCCCCCAAGAGGCACCCAAGAGGTGCCTCCAACAGCCAGTTGACGAAGCATGCGGAACACCCCAGAAGCTCCTCAGATGCCGTCGCGCGCCTGTGCTTGATGGCGTTGTCCAAGATCGTCCAGCGCCCCCCTTGCCTGGGCTAGAACCTGAGCGCACGCGAAGCGCGCGCGATGGCTCTAGTATATATACATATGTATATAATATGTATAGGACAGATATTTGCGTAGATGTATGTATGTATGTATGTATGTATGTATGTATGTATGTATGTATGTCTGTAGGTAGGTAGGTAGGTAGGTAGGTAGGTAGGTAGGTAGGTATGCCTGCCTGCCTGCCTGCCTGCCTGCCTGCATGCATGCATGCATGTATGTATGCATGTATGCATGCATGTCATGTAATGTAGTGTATTGTACTGTAATGTAATGTAGTGTAGGGTAATGTAATGTAATGTGATGTAATGTACATGTACATGTAATGTAATGTAATGTAATGTAATGTACGTATGTATGTATGTCTGCATGTATGTAGCAGACAGGTAGGTAGGTAGGTAGGTAGGCACGTCGGTATGCATGTATGTATGTATGTATGTCTGCCTGCCTGCCTGCCTGCCTGCCTGTATGTATGTATGTATGTATGTATGTATGTATGTATGTATGTATGTGTGTGTGTGTATGTATGTATGTATGTATGTATGTATGTATGTATGAAGTCGTGTATGTATGTATGCATGTAGGTATGCATGCATGCATGTATGTATGTATGTATGTATGTATGTATGCATGTATGCATGTATGCATGTATGCATGTATGTATGTATGTATGCATGCATGTATGTATGTATGTATGTATGCATGTGTATGTATGTGCATATACATGTATATACATACATAAATATATACATATATACATATATATATATATATATATATATATATATATGCACACATACGCACACACACAAATATGTAGCTACTACCACTTCCCAGCTGCCAGGACGATGTATTTCGTATGGGGACGAGCGCGGGAGGGCGAGGCCACGGCAACAGGAGGCTATACAGACAAAAGCTGATCCCGGCGAGAGCCGCGCACCTTCAGAGAAACTTTTAGGAGCCACCCGAATCCCGCAGAGCAGTCCTGGCCACGACAGATGGCCGAAAAACGAACTACGCACGTATGTACTGACAGAAGCCATAGACCAACACAACATTACGCAATGACAACATCAGAGCCTAGGGGAGGCTATACAATCTCGAGAGCTGCTTTCATCATCCAATTTTCCCTGAGAGCATTGGCAGAGTGTATGAGAGCACTGGCAGCGGCACGGGCAACCTGAGGTGAGTAGGCGGCGGTCAACTCGGTGCGGCGGGCCGGCGCACCCTTATCCCGACCCTGTATGATGAGGTGAGGCAGGCCGGTCGAGGAACAGATGCCACTCTTGCCGGTACACGATTTACATAAGCTGGGGAAAACGCCTGCGTTCCAGCAGGCGACCGACGTGGGCTTCTTGAAAGGCGTGCCGAACTGGCACATGTCCATCTTGAGGACGGGGCAAGATGAGTGAGAGAGCAATTTGAGCATCTCAGGCGCATGCCAAAGAAGCGACCCACGAGGGTTTTCTAGAAAGACTGGGCAGCCGATCTGGATACAGAGCCGGATGAGCCGGCAAGAAAAGTGGAAAGAGCGATTGCCAAGGCGGAGACGGTGCAGACGAGCACCCTCAAGCCCTGGCTTGCCCATCGGATGCCGCATCGACCGCAGAGGATCTCTGAGCGCCTGTGACCAAGAAGTACAGGGTGTGCCGAGCCACAGGCCGACAACGGCCTTGCCCAGCAGCCAGCCTCGCCCAACTGATTCGAATGTGGAGCTGAGATGGTCCTCCGCGGCCCCATGGGCGATGTTCATGTCGAGGCAGCCGTAACCCATGTCACAAACACGCTGGGAGATGCGACCGCATCCTGCGAACAGCTCAAGGAACATGCAGCTCCTCCACTTGTCGGCGGCCGCCCGGGCGCGCCGGTACCGCCGATGCAGATGCAGCCTCACGGCCGCCGGCGACGCGGTCAGCGCCGGCGGGCCCACTTGGCGGCGGGGGCCCCGGGCCCTGCCAGCAGGCGGGGGCGGAGGGCCGCCGGCACCGCGTCCATGACAAGCGGCAGCGACGGGCCGCCCCGGAAGACGTCCAGGAAGTACTGCTCCACGAGCTCCCCGAACAGCAGCACGTCGGGGTCCACCTTGGCAGCCTCCCGTAGGAGGCGGGTCTCCTTGCCGTACCGGCGCAGAGAGGCCATGGTGGCCCAACGGCCACGCCGCATGACTTGCTCCGCCGTCCTCGCACCTGACAGCAAGTCCTCGCTGGCCCCCCCGTGGCGGAGGGAGTACAGGTGGGGCTGCAGGTGCATCAGGCCCAGGGCCCGGCACGCATCCACGAAGAGCCGAGCAACCGACGTAGGCTGGAAATCCCAGAGGGGGCCGTCCCCCGCCACGATCCTCAGCGCCTCCAGGGCGGACTCGAGCCAGGGCGCCTGGTCCAGGAGCACGCTCTCGTCCCACAGGTTGGTTTTGCCGGGCAACTGGAGGTCCGAGTCGTGCAGCAGCAGGCCCCACGGTGTCGGAGCCTGGCCCAAGTGGGCCACCGGCGGCACGAGGTGCCGCCCCGCCAGCCGGAACGCTTCCTGCGGGCGGAGGTAGGCCACGAACGACACCATGATGAACAGGCCCATGCGCGGCTGGCCCCACGACGCCATCGTCCCTGCGATGGCGAGAGCAGCCCGGCGAGGCAGCGGCAGGCGCATCCTGGTCGGCACCCGACGGCGCCAGCCCGCCAGGCAGCGGGTCGCCCGCGGCAGGGCCTGCGCGGTCCTCTTGTACAATGCCGGCGTGTGATGGGCCAGCGCTGCCAGAAGAACCGAGCCCTCGTTCGGGGCGCGACCCTCGAAGTACATCGAGTTCAGGTGCGTGACCAGAGCCGGGTCCATGCCGGCCTCGCTCGTCCAGCTGATCGTCTTCACGAGGCAGAACTGGAGGAAGGCCCGGGGGCAGATCTGGCAGAGGCGCTCCGTGCCAGGCCTGACCGCCGTCCGCTCCAGCACCGACAGGCCGCCGGAGGCCCCCCGCGTCGCCGCCACCTGGCGGGCAGCGGCGGCCCAGCGTTGGCGGTCCGCGTGGCGCCGAGTGGCCGCAGGTCCCGGCATCGGGCTCCGGCCCTGGCGCGCACGACGCGGCGGTCGCCCGGCGCCGAATGTGAATCGTGCAGTTTGAACACAAGGCCACACAACATAGTTTACGAAGTGTACGACGGAGATGAATAGACGCAGCCCTTCCTTTGCGACACCCAAGGGCTAACGGCATGTTGTCAACGAACAATAAGATGTGCTTCCCAAAAGCAGCTCTGGACCTCAAGATGTGCTTGATACCCAAGATACCCGCATCCCCTTCCAAGGCTAAGATGTTGTCGGGCACGACGACCCTCGAGGCGATAACCGGAGCCCAGCGTGCCCCGTTGAAGAACTCCCGGGGGACCTCCATGAACTCCCGAGGGTGCACCCTGATGGAGGACTCGAGGCCCACGATGTCCAGGCCGTGCAGTCCCGTAGGCAGCGAAGCTGTTCCCGATGCGGAAGATGGCAGGGGCTGAGGTTGGAGGACTCTCTCGCGCGCCCTCTCGGCACCATGTACACGGTACCGCCATCGCTCGCACTGGCGGCCATGCTTCGCCGCAACGCTCGGCTGCACAGACCGCGCGGCCACGCCGACTCCGAACTCGGAGGCGTCGCTCACTCCGACGATGTCGTGCCACGGGCTGCTCAAGTCCTTCTGGAGGAGGGGCAGCAGCGACCGCGCCAGCCAGAGCTCCTCACGCACGGAGCCCCGCATCGGGGAATTCGTGGGAAGGCCGGCCGCGATGTGCGGGTACACGGCGCTCAGCACACACAACGGCTCCCGGCGTATCAAGCAGGCCCACGAAATATGGCCGACCAGGACCTCCAGCATCTTGCTTGAGCAGCAGCCCCGGCGCAGCACCGTGTCCAGCGCTGCCCGCAACCGCCACAAGTTGCGACGCTTGACCGAGAGCCAGCGGCCCTGCCTGAGCTCCAGCCCCACCAAGACGGCGTCCGTGGAGGCGTCGGTCTCCTCGTGGACCGTGAGGCCCCACCCCCTCAGGATCGCGGACACGTCGTCCCGGCGCTGCGTGACCAGCCGCGGGTCGTGGCCGAAGACGTAGAAGTTGTCCACGTAGCCTGCGGTGGCGGTGGAGGAGGAGGCGAGCAAGCCCGCGCTCGCCCCGGCCGTCCTCCACGATCTGAGAGTCCGAGAAGCTTGCCACCGAGATAGCCCGCATGGTCACCGCCTGGCAGAAGTGCATCGCCCACGACCACCCCATGGGCAGGATGGTGAGGCGCGGCGCCAGGCGGGTGCCCGCCGGGAGGGCGACGCCTTCGAGCTCGGTGACGCCGGCCAGGGTGGACGACAGCGTCGGCAAAGTGAAGTAGTCTTCGAGGCCCGACATGGGCCGGAGGCGGTAGAAGGCATTGTCGAGGTCGCCGCTCGCCACGTGCAGCGGCTGGTCGCCCGACTCCACCGAGGACGCCGCAGCCGCCGTAGGCAGACGCGTCGGAGGTGCCGGGTGGAAGTAGGCGTTGGCGTACCTCGTGTCGAACACGATGCGAAGTCGTCCAGACTTCTTCCTCGCAAAACAAATACACCTATAATGTGATTGTCCGTGGAGGCCACCTTGAAGCGCAGCGTGCCACATTGATGGAGACGCCGAAAAAATTCACCGTGCTCAACTGGGTCCCGTGCCAACCGAGGGTCGACGAAGGGGCCGCGAGGGCAAGCTTGCCGGGCTTCCTGCAGCGCCTCGTCGGGCGTCTGGAGCAAATTCAGTCGCCAATCAGGTGCCCAGTCGTTGTCATCCTGAGTGAGGCAGCCCAGAAGGTCGGTAGGGCTGGCCCCCACCTCAGGCCAGGAGACCAGCTCCTTGGAGTACGGGGCCCGGGCGCCGCCGTCGTCGGAGTAGACGGCGGAGCTACTGACAAGCTCGTGGAGGGCTTCTTCACACAAACCTGGCTCGCTCGGCATCACGCCCATGCCCAGATAGCAGTCCTCCAAAACATTCAAGCTGGTCTGCTGTCCTAGGTTGGCGGGCGCCGACAGAGGTGCGCCGGAGTGGCCGTGCATGCCGTTGAGCGCGTCCACGCCGTGGTCAGCCCATTGCAGCAGCACTTCGGAGCGGCGGGCCCGCTGGCGGACGGCGCGGCAGGGGCGGCGGTCGGCAGCGCGAACAGCACGACGGGCCACGCGAGGCAGCGGAAAAATATCCCGATGACGCTGATCACCGGGGGCGGCGAGCTCGCCGCGAAAAAAGGGCCTGACGCTCGAGCTTCGACGCAGCAGTCGGCCCCAATTCTGGCCCGCCGAGGGCAGCCACCAGCCCGGCCACGCCCGCGGCAGGAGCGGCGGCGGGGCCCGCGGCGGGGGGCGCAAGCCCGACGGGCGCCCCGGCGGCCGGCCCCCCAAGCACTCGTCCCGCTGCATTGGCCACGATGGGCCCAGGGGGGGCGGGGATCGGCCGCGGCGGCGGCAGCGGCCGTCAGGATCGTGGCGGGCGTCGGCAGGCTGCGAAATCTGTAGTAGCGAGCGCCGGGGGCCCGCGGCATCGTGCCGCCGGCAGCGCCCCCAGGGGAGATGTCCCACTTCAGCGCGTCCGCCGAGGCCACGCACTTCTCCTCATACTCGTCATCATCGGGAGTGAGTATGATCGCCACATGTGGCCGCCCCGGCGGCGCCACTAGCACGAGGCGCTCGTGGGTCAGCGGGGCGCCACCTCCCACGCTGTACTGCACGCCGATGAAGTCCCCCGGCTGAGCGCCAGAGGCCGCCGCGGAGGCGTGCGCGGGCGGGGCTGCGCCCGCCGTCGTCGCTGCAGGGCCTTAGCGCGCGCCTCGCGCGCCTGGGCCCGAGCCTGCTGCTCGAAGTCGGGCTGCTCCAGGGGGCCGGAGGCGGCGCCGGGCGGCCCCGCGAGGCGGCCGCCCAGGCGCCAGAAGGCCCCCGCCGCGCTGCAGGCCCCAGCGATCCCGCTGTCGGCGCAGGCCAGCGCCGCCGCCCAGAGGCCCGGCCCCTGGCTGCTCGAGCCCTGCAGGCCTGAGCAGTCGCAGCGCAGCTCCGGGCAGTGCAGCTGCGGCGCGCAGGTGCACTCGGGGCACTGCGCGGCCTCTTGGCCGGCGTAGAGCGCCAGACCAGTGCTCAGCCCACGGCCCACCTCCGGGGCCAGCGCGCTGGCCGCCGCGGACACCGCGGAGAGCATGCGGGCGGAGTTCGCTCGAGGCTTGAGCGAGATGGCCACAGATGTCCATCGAGTGCGGCAACGTCGCCGTGGGGCGCAGCATGCACTTGTCAAAAGGGTCAGCTTCGCCCATTGCCGCTGGCCCCCCTATTGCTAGTTCAGGCGGCTGCGCTGGGGGCCTCTTGGGTGTCTCCTTGGGGCTTCTCGGGGGTCTGTCTCCTCGGGGCCTCTTGGAAATAATATTTTGGGTTTCTTGGGGGTCTTCTTGGGGGCCTCTTGGCGGCCTCTTGGGGGCCTCTTTGGGCCTTTGGGGATGTTCTTGGGGCCTCCTGGGGCCCTCTCGGGGCGGAAGCGTAGAGTTTTCGGATCGTGGACTCCCTCATGGGTCTCTCTTGGGGCGCCTCTTGGACCGTCTTGGGGCCCTCTTCGGCTGCTTGGGGTCGTCTTGGGCCGTCGCGGGGGCTTCTAGGGCCGTCGTGGGGCGATCTTGGGAACCTCTTGGTCCGTAAGCCGGACAGGCGAGAAGGCCAACGACCTTCAAAAACGTTAGGAAAATCGTTGATTCCTCTCGCTTCGCGGGGTGCACGTCGGGAGTACGTGCAGTGAGGTCGTGCAGTGAGGCGTTTGGAGGGCCTCTTTGGGCCGGCTTGAGCCGTCTTCGGCCGCCTGCGGGCCCTCTTGAGGGCTCCCTTGAGGGCTTATTGGGCCGTCTTGGAGCTATTTCGGAGGCTTCTTGGGCCGTGCAGGAGGAATATTGAAAATAGTCCACATATAGTTTCGGGGCGATTTGTTTGATTCAAGCGCTGGCTCTGATCGCGGACGCCGCCGTGACCAACTTCCATCTGGCTGGCGTTGCGCCGCGGTTCGCCCAGGGCGGGATATTATTGCTTAGTGACTCACCGAGGGTGTGTCAGAGCACGTTCAGTCCAGTCGTTGTGGTGCCTCCTGGGAGTCTCTTGGGAGCTTCTTGTGAGGTTCTTAGGGGCTTTTTGGAGCCTCTGGGGGGCCTCTTTGGAGCCTCTTGGGGCCTCTTGGGGACGTCTTGGGCCGTCTTTGGGCGCTCTTACGCCGTCTGGCCACTTCGGAGGCCACTTTGGAAGCCTCTCGCGGCCGCCTTGGGGCTCTCTTGGGGTCCTCTGGGGCCGTCTTGGGGGTGTCTTGGGCCGTGGCCCTCTTGGGGCCATCGTGGGCCGTCTTGAAACCTTCTTCGGGCCCCAAGAGGCCCAAAAGGCCGAATTTGTTGATTTCTTATAGGTTTTTGTAGGTTTTTTTTTGGCCCCGCAAGGGGCCCTCCACCTTTGGGTCGACGGAAGTGGCGCGACTCCAGGGGGGGGGTTAGGGGGGAGACATTATAATGTAACGCAATACAAGAAGTGGCAATTATGCAAGCATTGGACACATTGGATCCATTGCGTTAGGGCTTCCGCTCCGCTGCGCGACCTGCCTCCGGGAACACGTCACTTCCGGACGTGGATTTCTTGGGAACCTCTTGGTCCGTAAGCCGGACAGGCGAGAAGGCCAACGACCTTCAAAAACGTTAGGAAAATAGTTGATTCTATAGGCTTACGCCACATCCGCCGACCCCTATATAAGGTACTGCGCCTCCAGGACTGCATTTCACGAGGCTTGTCCGCATCATGAAACGGCGCTCGACATCGTTCCTGTTGCTTCGTTGCTGTTATCGTACCTCTTGGTGCTCTTTTGTTGCCTCTTGGTGGCATCTTGGCCTGTCTGCAAGCCATATCCGGCCGCCTCGAGGCATCTCGGGCCAAGTTTTGGGGCCTCTTTGGGGCTTCCTGGGGGCTTCTTGGAGGCTTTTGAGTTTATTCTGGAGGTCCCTCAGGGCCTCTTGGGCTGTTCTTGGGACAGGCTGGGGGCGTCTTGGGGCCGAAGGCTCGAGCAGGTGTCGTCTTGGGGCCGTCTGGGGGCCCTCTTGGGCTGTCTTGGGGGCTTCGGGGGCTGTTGTTGGACCCTCTTCGACCCTTCTTGGGGGCCCCTGTGGCCGTCTGGGGGCGATATTGAAGGTTTTTTTTGCCCGTCTGGGACGTTGTGCAAACCGAATAGGCGAGCATGCGACAAATGCTTGTTTTTCGATGGGAATAGGACGATTTTTGTTCCTTGGGACCCTTTTGGGGCGCATGTTGGGGGCCTTTTGGGGCGTCTTGGCAGCTTCGGAGGCCCCACCCGACCCGCTTGCTAGGGTGCTCGCGCGGCAACTCCATGATGCATCATATTTTAATGCTCCGCCCGCCCGATCAGACTTGCTGGTGGGTGTCCGCCCGACCGCCCGACCCGACCCGCGCCTTAACGTCCGCCCGCGCGACCCGAACCGCCCGTCACTGTCCGCCGGCCAGCCCGACCCGACCCGCCCGTTAGGGTCTTCCCGTCCGACCCGACCCGCCCGTCAGGGCCCGCCCGCCAGGCCGACCCGACTCGCCCGTTAGGGTTCCTACCCGCGCCCGCCCGCCCGCCCGACGACTGAACGCAGCTCGTCACATCATGCAGTGAGGGTTGCATTTCATGTCCCGCCCGCCCGCCCGACTGAGCACTGCTTGTCACATCGAACAGTGAGGGTTGCATTTATTGTCCCGCCCGCCCGCCCGACTGGACACCACAGCTTACCCCATTACAGAGTGAGGGTTGCATTTCATGTCCCGACCGCCCGCCTGACTGAACAGAGCTTGTCACATCACGCATTGAGGGTTGCATTTAATGTCCCGCCCGCCCGCCCGACTGAGCGCAGCTTGTCACATCACACAGTGAGGGTTGCATTGACTGGCCGCCCGCCCGCCCGACTGAACACAGCTCGTTACATCAAACAGTGAGGGTTGTATTGAATGTACCGCCCGGCCGCCCGACTGAACACCACAGCTTGTCCCGTCACAGAGTGAGGGTTGCTTTTAAGGTCCCGCCCGCCCGCCCGACTGAACGCAACTTGTCCCATCACAGAGTGAGGGCTGCATTTATTGTCCCGCCCGCCCGCCCGACTGAGCACAGCTTGTCACATCAAACAGTGAGGGTTGCATTGAATGCCCCGCCCGCCCGACTGAAAGCAGCTTGTCATGTCACACAGTGGTTGTTGCTGTTAAGGTCCCGCCCGCCCGACTGAACGCAGATTGTCACATCATGCAGTGACTGTTGCATTTCATGTCCCGCCCGCCTTATTGATCACTCGCCGTCGTCGTCGTCGTCGTCGTCGTCGTCGTCGTCCTCGTCGTCGTCGTTGTCGTCGTCTTCGTCGTCGTCGTCGTCTTCGTTTGCCGGCGGCGAGCATCGGGGGGGTGGGTTGGTGGTCCCCAAACGTGGTGGTGAGAACACCCGGTGGTGAGTTTTGGGCGATTCGGGTAATGCTTTTCGAGCGCTGGCTCGCCCAGGCAACGCAAGACCTCGTGGCGGCCGCGTGTCCCCAAACCCGGTGGTGACCCAGAATTTTTTTTGGGGGGAATCGGGGCCACATGCGAACCCTACCCCTACCCCCCACGATTTCTGAGGGGGAGGGTGGGGTTCACTTCGTTCGGGAGCTCTCGAGCGAAGTGAACCCCACCCTCCCCCTCAGAAATCGTGGGGGGTAGGGGTAGGGTTCGCATGTGGCTCCCTAATCGGGGTCACCACTGGGTGTCTCACCACCTGGTTTGGAGACCACCAAGTGGGGGGGGGTCGGGCCCCAGCGCCTCGGGCTCTCGGGCCCCTCGGGCCCCTCGGGCTTCTCGGGCGCCTCGGGCGCCTCGGGGCCCTCGGGCGCCTCGGGTGCCTCGGGATCCGCTCGGGCGCCTCGGGTTCCGCGGGCCTCTTCCCTTATCGATCCTCAGTCATCCATGCCTTGCCTTTCTCTTCCAATTTCATTGGGAGTTGATTTGAAATAGGCGCTTCTGCGTTGGGCACAGGCGTCATTCAACAGGCGCGGATGCCCTTGTCAATGGATTTGTTCTTGTTGTTGTTGTTGTTGTTGTTGTGGTTGTTGTTGTTGTTGTTGTTGTTGTTGTTGTTGTTGTTGTTGTTGTTATTATTGTTCTTGTTGTTGTTGTTGTTGTTGTTGTTGTTGTTGTTGTTGTTGTTATTGTTCTTGTTGTTGTTGTTGTCGTTGTTGTTTCTGCTTCTGTTGTTGTTGTTGTTGTTGTTGTTGTTGTTGCTGCTGCTGCTGTTGTTGAACATTATTACTTCTAAAGAAATATTATTGTTGAGACCCCTGGTGCGCGACCCCCCTCCAAAACCTAGGCCGCAGCCTCATTTCCTTCATTTTCTAGCGAAAGCTTCAGAAAAGTGGATTGTGTCCGGATCCGGTTGTTTTGTTGTAATCCGTTTTCCCTTGCAAAAAACACTATAAAATGAAAATTCTTGTTCTTACTTGATCAAATTGCAAGAATCCCTTGCAAAAAATAAGGTAAAGTGGACATTCGTGCGCGCAAGACGAAATCCTTCCAAAACCTTAGGTTTCGTAGCGATTTTAACATAAAAACATCAAAAACCCAATGGTTTTTTAAGAAAAAATTGTCAAAATGTTCTTCCGCGCGCTCTTGCGGATTCGTAGGAAAACCAACACTTTTTAAACAATTCTGTCAAACGGGCTTTTGCGAGCAACTTTTTCGAACTTCTGCGACAACGGTTGCGCACCTGCCAGGGCCATCATCCCTGTCAAATAATACCATGCGGGACACATTCGTTTTTTCTTCGCGCGCGCACGCCGAAATCTCCAAAAACCATTGGGTTCTGTGGGTGTGTACCCCACGCCAGTGTAGTAGCCACGGTCGTCCGCACGCCACGAAGTGAAGTGTCCCAACGTCATAGGGCGGGAAGCTGGGTTTGGGTGGTCGCGAAGAGTCGTTTGGATATTTGGTAGAGCTTGCATTGCCCCCCCACGAAGTGGGGGTATTGGCTGGCGTCGCATGAAAACCCTGGCACTGGGGAGAACACTGAGCGTTCGGGTAAAATGATTGTTGTTGTTGTTGTTGTTGTTGTTGTTGTCGTTGTCGTTGTCGTTGTCGTTGTCGTTGT